AACCAACCAACCAACCAACCAAGCAAGCAAGCAAGCAAGCAAGAAAGAAACCAACCAACCAACCACCAACCAGGCTCTGAGAGCACAAGTTGCTAGTTCCCGGCTCCGCGAAGGCAGGTTGTCGAGCTGGCAGGGTGCTAATGGCACACTTTTTCCCATGTACGTTTGCGTGTATTTATGTCTCCCTAGGGATCCAAGTACCTTCTCAGAAGGTGTTTGGGGTGGGTTTGGAGGGTCCAAGTGCCTTCTGAGAAGGTACTTGGATCCCTAGGGTCTGTATGCATGGATGGATGTCTACGTCTGTATGCGTGTGTTTTCCCTTTACGGAAACCGCCGGCGGCTGAAGCCGCCGCGAAGCAGTGTGAATTACATCTGCGCGCGGGAGCGTCCTGCGTGAGTGTCCCACAAGAATATTGCGTATGAGTTTACCAGCGTGTCTTGCAAGAGTGACTCACAAGAGTGTCCTACAATTGTATCCTGCAAGAGTGTCCCACAGGGTGAGAAAAGTGTCGCGCGAGAGTGTGAGCGTTCTACACGAGTGTTTCCGACAAGAGTGTCAAAACATGTTTGGGCTCTTGATGTTTGGGATTTGGGACATGAAACATTGCGCTCAGAACCAACTAAACTTTGATGCTGACTGACTGGGGGGCCCATGTATCAAGGTTTGAAAGACACTGACTGCGATGTTATAAGTTCATCCTAGTCCCGCTTATCAAGTGTGTTATAGTTACAGGGTATCATATCCTTGAATTATGGCGCCAAAATGGGGAACGTTTGTCAGTCACAGGCCTTACTGACAAACCGCAGACACTCAGTTTTATTTGTTATATAGATACACCTCCATTGATGTAAAACATTTTGGGTGGTTGGGACTCATTTCCCACACTGCTCGTGTTTGTCTTCACACAGTATATGTATGGAAATTCTACTTTCCTTGACCCCATCACCCCATCACCCCTGGAATAGCCAGTCTCAGAGACGATGCACAGGTGAAGTGCCGGAGTCGCCGCCCATCTGAACATGCCTCGGAACCCGCGGCGTGGACTCCGCTGGTGCGGAGTGGCGTCGACGCTGCGGGTTCACACGCCACGGCACTGGGGATGCGCGAGAATGCCATGGAGGCCGAGAATCGAGGCCCTTGGACCTGAAGCTACTTCCTTTTAGTTGTTTGCAGCTGGCACGGGCGCAGAAAGGTGAGGATCACTTATAGATGATGTTGACCCAGAAAGATCTGCAGATGATCAACATAAAGTTGAAGATGAAAGGATTCCGAGGAGTTTTTCGACCCATGTCAGCTCTTTTAAGGGGGAATCCATAAGTTAATTAAGTTCAATTTGTCAGAGCAGCCTAAAAGAACCCTTGGTCATCCGTGCGAGTCGAATATATAGGTTCCTGAACAGCTGGCGCCAGCGAACACCAGAGAATTGGCGCACCGAACACGCGGAACCGGGTCGGTGTGTCCCCACGCGACCGGCCAAACGGACACAGGGTTAAACCGGCCCCTCTTAGCCCCGTTCGTAGCGTCCTTGCTCCTAGTAGTAAGGCCAGCAGCCCCTAGTCCTGAATTCTCCTGGGAGATCCTGAGCCCAACGGATCTGACGGGACATCCTGAACACAGCTCTCCTGGTGAAGCTTGCCTGGCCCATGGACCCCAAAATGGTCCAAAAGTTTCCCTGCGGAGATGTTATATATATATATATATCAATGTGAAGTGGCCTAGTATACAGAGCCCCATTGAGGAGTGTCTATTAATATGCCCCTTTAAGAGGTTAAGGGATCTTCTTCACTAATGGAAAGATTGCTTTTTTGCTTCGCTGAAAAGGGTGGTTCTCTTCCTCCACCATTCCGGGCATCCACGAGTGTCTTTTTCCCGCGTGCGGAAAGCCGGCACGGCCTCCGCCGCTGCGAAGCGCCAGACCGGGAAATGCGTTTCGCGCGCGCGGTGCGCTGGAGGGAGGTGAGGGTGACGGAAGTGGGGAGGGGGGTGGTATTCCGAAAGTTCTCCTCGAAGCGGTCAGCCCATCTACTTTCCGTCCATCGTAGACGTCGTGGAAGTGTTGATGCTTCTTAGCTCGCTTGCAGACGGACTCCTTTGATGGGTTTGGGCCGAATTTCTTGATCTGATGGAGCACGGAGCTGGATACCTGGAGATTCCGAGCTCGAGCTAGACAAAGACCATCCAGATGGCCTAGTTACCTAGCCATGGGGGTGGTTTGAGGGCTTGTTGGACTCTAGCCGTTGGACCCTAACCCAGCCACTCCATGTATGGCATGTTTACCTATAGGGGTGGTTGAAAAGTCGTGTTTGGGATAGACGACCTAGCGCTATTTGTCAGGGTATCTCCCTGTGCACTGAGCCGAAGCGGCCCTCCCAGGGAAGCCTCCCCAGGTGGCCACCAAGCGGGGAAACCCCAAGTGTGGAGCTCTGACCCAAAAGGACTTGCAGCATCGTTGAAGATTTCGCTGAAGATGCTCCCGATTCTTCTAACTGGTCTTTCGCTGAAGATCCAGTCTTCAGATTTGAAGCACACCGAGAACCATGGTCTAGAACACATATGCAGGGTATAGGACGTCGCATGGGACCCCCGGCATCCGTTTTGTTGTTCAACGCGCTCACCGCGGTGAGGAGGTGCTTCAACGACAGGGGGAAACACATCTTTGCAGGCGCGCAGAGCTCGTGCCTCCGCCTCCAGCCACGTCCCGGGTGTGAAAGGGTGCTACGTCCCGGGTGCGAACACCCAAGCGGATGATTCGACCCAGAATAGAATTCAGCGGCGATTGTTGAAGAACATGGATTTATAGGATGCATTATTCGGTGTTTGAAGGTGATCGGTGCAATCCAGTTATGGCTTATAAACGTCTTTGCTGGTTCAGGAATGGCTGATCACGTCTATATAGAATGGGGATCCTTTGTTGGAAAACTGGACAGGGAGGCTGCTCCTTCTTTGAAGGATATGAGGGACAGATAAATGTGTTTCTTTGGATTGGCTTGGCTACTAGTACTTGCTTTGATCGAATGCCAAAGCAGAAGGAAAGGCCACCTACAACCATCAAGCAAATCCCGCAACCAAGTCACTCAAAGATATTTGAAGCCAAGAATTGGTGTCAAAGCTATATAAGCAACTACTTTTATTTAGGCTTTACTAAAGTAGTCTATGGCATGCTCTATTTGCTTGTCTATCATCAGTATTCGCTTGTGAACGAGATAGGGCCCCCACATAAACGAGATAGTGTGATCTGTTACTAAAGTAGTTTGAACGAGATACTGTGACATGACCTCCTCCTGCTTAAGTAGTCTAGACGAGATAGGGCCCCCACATAGGAGATAGTGTATTTGAGCTAAGTACCAAATAAATGCCGTCGCACATATGGAGGGGTATTTGTTGGGTGATTAATTGGCATTGACGAAAGTCCACTCTTTTAAACAAACTTCAAACCGGGACAGCATGTCAAGCTCTTCTGGAACATATCATAACATGTCAAGCTTTTCTGGTCTAGCTTCAAGAACAGCTTTCAAGACAGGCTGCCAGCACCGCTGGTTTCAGAGCGTGTTTCAGTATGTTTCCAGTTCAAAAAATGGCGCTGCTCGGACGACTGGTCGGAGTTCTACCCTGTGGGGGGGGGTTCACAGGTCTCGTCTCCGCTCGTCTCCATCACCGCTTCACGGCACCTGCGGCCAACGTCGCGCAGATCGATCAGCACGGTGCTGGGGTTGGCACCGGGACCGGACCGGACCTTGAATCCCCGCCTCAGAAGGGATCAAAGCTCTTCCAAGCAAACTCCTCTCAGCATGCATTTGACAGGTCGCGCGTGCGATGACCGGTTGGACTCGCAGTCTCAGTTCAAGCAAGAGACGGCTAGAGATGACTTTTGACTTTAGGATTCTGCAACGGATCTCAGTTCAAGCAAGACGACGAAGCAAAAGGTTTTGCACTCGGTTTCTTCCAAACACGAATCAATGAACGTCACAAGAAAGTTGAAAAAGGTATATAATATGCGCATTTAATTAGACATTGTACGTTGCTGTAGTTATTTCCTCCCAAGCAACGGTCCAACAAGAATTGCTTCAGCGCAGCGGGGGCCTTCGGGAAATCCCTATGTTTGATCGACTGGAACCCCTAAGTTAGGTGAATTAACCATACACCTGTTGCGGACCATCAACTTGCCCAATCCATTCCATTTCAATATCTGCCCCTCGCCGTCCATCTTTTTTGCTTCATCGCGTGAGGCTTCGCAGCATCCAAAGCCGCCGCAGCAGTAATGCCTTCGAATCTACAATGTAGCGGTTCCCAAGGGGGATGCCGCCATGAGTTCTTTGTGGAAGTGGCTGACTAGTGAATGACTGGTGTGATTCTTTGGATATAGAGAAGCCATGAGAAGCCCGTTCGAATTGGATTGTTGACCCCTTCTCAGCGCTTGGATGACGCCGTTTTCAGGAACATACGTGTGTTTTGAAGTTTGTTTGTGTTTTGTGATGTGTTGTTCATGTTGTCAATCTTATTCCAGCTGGACAGCAAGCTCTGGCAACCACCTTTCTCTCAACAAAATCTCCGATGTCTTCCGGCGTTTGGCTGGTCGACCATGTTCAGACCCCAAGTGGCAAGCCTTTGCTACACGGACTATAACTCTTCTCCCTGGTTCGAACCAGTCAGTGACCCAACTTGATGTCCCAGTGTAAAAGGTCACGGGATGGGACTGTAAAAGGTATTGATGTTGTTCTGGTTGCACTTGGTCCGCCAGCCCAATGTCGCCACTTTCCCTAGAATGAAGGCAGTTGTGGCCTATGAAGGATGCATGGAGCACATGACAAAGAAGAATCTTCCCTTCGTTGTGCAGTGAGAGGTTTTACTATGCATACTTACAAGCTTTCTTTGGTGGTCTCCCTACTGTAAATAGCTGAACATGGGTTGGTGTTTCACCACCGGGTTCCTACCCGGACGCCCAGCGTCATGGTTTGGTCTATGATTTGCTCTTCCAGTGGGTCTGACTGGGGGGTCCCCTTATCCTTATCTCAATATATACCTTGGGAGTCAAAGACTATAAAAAGAATGGTCTTTAGGGGAACTGAGTTCGGGAACTTCCTTTACTTCAGCCGGTCAAAAAATAGTCTTTGGACTTCTAGAGTGTGTTTTTTTCTTTAAGATGACTGTTGATTTCTTCCGGTTGTGCAAATCCCCTTCTGCAGAATATGTTTACGTATATGTTTTCCAGGTTCCTTAAATCCAAGTATGCATGACTGTGACTTCGTCAAAATCTGGAGCCGCTGGTTGACATCCACCGTCGTGGAGTCTCAGCTTCATCTTCGGTGGTCCACGGCCGGGGTGTTCCCGTGCGACCTACAGGCAGGATGGATCCGAAGTTGGATCGAAGTTGAAGGCCTTTCATCACCAAACCCGGACGTTGGACGTTGGACGCTTCTAGCGACGGAGACGGTGCTGAAGATCGATAACTAGTTGTCCACATGTTTTGGCATCACGAGGTAGATCTCATTGGGTGGGCTGATTTCGAGACATAACGCACACCGACACATGTGTTTTTTCAGCAGATGTTGGAAGAAAGCACCCCTGTGCTCCATGTTCACTTACATCTACTTTTCATGGAACGCAGGGAATGGATCTCTCGGCTCTTCGTCCCATGGTCGAACGAGTCGCGTTGCTTCGTGCCGAACGGCAGCGAAGACGAGCATGTTTTGACATCCTCCCTGCGGGCATGGACGATGCCGGTTCTGCCGGAAGAAACGGCGCGAGCCATGGACGGCGCACCAAGCGAAGCAACGATGGCGGTGCGAGGGCTTCCCCAATGGAAGCCTTCTTCAGGGTTGTAAGTTCAGGTGATTTCAGGTCACAAGATATGAAGACCCTGTCACGCTCTCAGATGTTCTCAACACTCCATGTTTGCCATGGTTCGGCCGATGTACCTCCATTGGTTGGTTGATTGAAAAGGGGTCCATGGGACAATACGAGAGTGTTTGGTCACCATGGTCATCCCGGAAGGGCTCCAACCCCTCCGTGAAACGGTCGGTGCTTCGGGTCGCTTCGAAAACGGTCCAGACCCCTACCTTCCAGTCGGATGGCCAGGAGCTCTATAGGGCTCTAGGGCTTGACTGAAAGATCATGATCCAGATGGAGTTTCGCCACTCCAGAATC